GGTAATGAAGGCTCGTCGAAAAACCTTTCACACAGCTTGCGATTGTGTGGACCGAAGTGTCTGATCGATAAAACATAGACGCAAGAGCATTAAACGAGCATTATATGAGCCGGCTGAAGCTCTAGCTGTGATTCATTTCGTACTCCGCTTTAGCAACAGATTCGGTGATCAAAAGACTTTTCCCCCACAGAGACCGAAACAAAACCTCGACAACGGACAAAAATCGGTTAAATCTTCGCGTATCGGCACTTCGTATGACAGAGTTAAGGTACGATACCTCATTTGACCACTCATTTTTTAAAACGTGTTTTTTGAGTTTTTAATGTTGTTTTGAACACTTTCTTATCAGTCGTGACAAGTGTATCAATGACACCTGCTCATATGCCGGCTTATATGGCCAAAAGTATCGAAGGAATGTTGATGGCAACTAATACTGCTGTATTTGTGTGTTGTCCAAATGGAATGACTTGGTTTTTCTCCTTGGTTTTGTGGTAGCAGTTGATACCTGCTTTGCAACATCATTTTTCTGGCATGTGCTGTTAATGAAATCAATAAATAGTCGGCCAAGATGATTCTGGATCTGTTAAACGCTAGCATGATCTTCCCAAGCGTACTCGACATTGGAGTAATATTCTGACAGTTGCTGTCTCAATTTCTCAAGTCCAACCAAAGTTAACCACAAATTGAGTGTCAGATCAAAGAGCTTACCTCGAATTGACAATGGAAAGCTTTATCGCTTGGGACCATCGTACGTTAGATGAGTGAGCCTCTTTTTAATTTACAAGACGCGTGAGGAAGTCATGGAAATCATTATCAAAATCTTAGAACTACAATTATAGATTAATAGCTTGGTATCCGTATAAAAATTCTCTTTAAGCTCGGGTCTTTCCAGAAACGATCACGGCTTCATAGCCAAGACAAGCTGCCGATGACAATCTTGAACGTGACCACACCACCGTGCAGAAAGTGCTGAGTCTTTTGTGCACTAGGATTGGGCTGACATTCAAAAAGGGTACTGATGCTATCTTTTCCTACAGAGTTGGGCGTGTTCTGAAACCAACTAGTCCTTACAGATTTGTAATCTTCGTGCAACAAGACTTCTGTGTTTAGTTATCTCTTCGAGTGGCATGTTAGATCAAAGAAACGCCTAATATTTAAGTGAGAAACTTCATTATCACAATACTAAAGTAACAATCGTCCTACATCTTATAAGTTTAGTTTAAGCTATATCTATTTTTTTGCTTGCGTTCTTTCATTAATTAGCTCGTAATACTAAATCATTATACCTGACAATTCGTGATTACTTTTCTAATTGTAATGCGATCGCACTTAAGCTCCAAAACTTCATGTTTCTTAATTTTACTACTAAGACCGGAATTGATTCTTCGACAATCAAAGACATAATTAGCATATGCGTGCGCCCGTGAATATCGAGATGGTAGCGATAGGTCTTCAATGCAGCCGTAAAGTGATCTGCAGGTTTTCCATCTGCATTGTCGTTTCGCCAAAAGCTTGCTCTCTATATGTGTAGCTTACCTTTCGTTTTTATCACCCGAGTTGCATCGTGGTTTTAAGTGAATTTGCTGTTTTAGATATTTGAACTATTATGAAATGGATAATATTGATTCGTAAGATCATGTACTCATACAATTATAACATGATCAGATGTAAAGTACCACTACTCCATTTTGCGACATTCAGTCCGCCAGCACTTACATATCTTTGTGAACAAATCATACTAAAATGGTCACATTTACGCGCCTGCGGCTCTCTACACTTAAGTGTTTAATTAGTATAAGCTTGTGCTTAATTGACACAAGATATTCCAAAATGAAAATCTGCAAAAATCGAAGCTTTTGATTAAAATTCTCGCACTGCAACGTAGTTCGATGTTCGAGATTTAGTTTGATAAACTTCTGATATTCATCGCTAATAAATCTAAAAGATCAACACTGATCTGGCATCGGATGATAGATAACATACAAGACAGGAGTCACAAAACAATTATAGACCCGTATACACCATGTGGTGAATATATGTTTGTGCACAATTCAATTAAATGTGACCAGCCAGATTGTACTTAGTCATATTATAGCTCTTGTGTCAATGTTATGCAGAACTATTGCGAGAGTTCTAAATGCTTCCCGACAGCTTCACAATTTGACCTCTGGGAGGCAGTAAATTGAGTCCAAGTGAAACGTGTCGGGTCACACATGATGATGCCATTATCCCGCTATCACCTTGGTCCCGCTGAGCGACTTACCTAAAGGAGTTGCCTTACGTATTGCACCAGTGAACTTCGCTTATGAGAGCCGCATTGACGCAACGTACTGAAATAGGATTGTGTGCTCTTGTCCAGCTCAATAAATACAGCCTGCTCGACCACAAGCTCTATCTTCTCACAAACTCTTGATCAATAGATCTTGTCGTAATCTTGGTTTCAAACCAGGGCAATATTGCCAAAGTGGTACCTCCAACCCCACAACTTCTCAGGTTAAGGGTAAGCTTACTTTTTGTCCAAATAATGGAAAGCGCCCTGGCGTACACGACAGTCCACCAAATCCTACGTAAATGTGGGCCACTGCTTGCAAATCCAGCAGCGTCTATGGAGCTTGGCTGACTTGGGAGCTCTTTTGTTGTGCCAGCATGTAGACTCTCCTCGGGAGTCATGGCGTGCATCTGCGGCTTATATTAACCAGATCTCGGTTTTGATGTCTGAGTTTCGCCGTCACGCAGTTAGGCTTGTGAAAGGCTCAGCGTTCCAAAACTGAGTGGCCTTTTTAGAGAAAAGAGCATACCCAGATTCAGAGTACCTGCCCCGCTACACCCTTCTTCTGATAAGCAGACCATTTTGTGGTTCACCCTGCGCAGAAGTGACCACTCCATGAGTAAAGTCTGCGCACCCCTTCCTTACACATTACCCACCTCTTTCGCATTTTGAGATCATACTTGCATCAGCAGTGTGATCTTGTGGGCTAGTAAATGCTTCATAAAAACATCGCTAAAAGCGAGGTCTTGGAAACTAACGTGCTAGGCAAATTTTCGTGGAGCGTTTTTGAACTGTTTCTCAACAAGAACAATCCGGATAACTTGCAAGTTCCCGACCAAGCACTCTGCCCTCTCCCGGTAATACAAGGTCAAGCCGTCCCCTACAGGTACTTCTCATTGTGATCAGCATTCTTGCTCCACGAGCTCAGGACTCGTGTCCTAGTCCATCAGGGGGGGCGTTGTGAAACTCACCACGATGTCCGGTTCTAAACCAATTCGCTGGTCTTGGCTGACAAGTCCCACTTGCTTGGCTGTAAGCGCGAGAGTCAGGCCGACTATTAATTAAATTGTCACGCCAAAATACACTATGAACTGTTTGAAGCCGCTTGCCGCGCTGGCGCTACACACATATGTGTGTAGACACCTCGCGCACGATAGGATTGAAACTAGCGACAAAAAGCTGCTTTGTAACCGCATTCACAACTCACGGCTTATCACCCCGCAGTAATACTGTCTGCGCTTGGAACCGCAGCGGCTAAGAAAACGCTTACGCTTCACGGGAGATGTACCCTTGAAATCTAGAAGCCATTGTAATTGCCGATGTGTGTCATACTCGAACCACGAACTGGATAAGGGGAACACATCTCGAATTTATCTGAACGCGTTACATCCCTCAGCAAAGTGGATGTCGATGTGACAACCCACCACGTCCGATTTATACTTGGCAGCGTCACTTGTCTTTATGAGAGGGCTGGAGAAGCGACCACCTCAGAAGATTTTTCACCTCAAGTCTTGTTTATCACTGTGGAAAAGTGCGCATCGACAGGTGACCCTGCCTCTTCTCCAAGAG